TTGCACTGCTCAACACCACAATACTTGTGGGCTCTGGCGACACACTCCAAGTTACTCATTCTTCATTTCACAACGCACAGCACATTCTCCAAACTAAAAGCACACACACACACCCACAGCACACTCTCCAAACTAACACAAAAACTCCACCTCACAACAGTCCCCTCTCCAGAACCTCTACTATTAATCTGACTATTACTTCAACTGTTACTACGACTACGACTACGACGACCACTACTATCACTACTGCAGATGCTGCTGCTGCTGCTGCTGCTGCAGCAGCAGCAGCAGCAGCAGCTGCTGCTGCTGCTGCTGCTGCTGCGATTATCACGACGACAGCTGCCTGCGGGACACGCAACATCATCATCGCTCATGGTATTACGGTGAGTTGCCCGCTTTTGAAAGCTCAACTCTGTGCAGGCCTGGGTGATCAGGGCTTTCACATGACTCTCGCTCCGGAGATGGAAGGCCTAGGTGGCTCGTCTGGTTTCGCTTTAAGGGGTCTACCCCATGCAGGACTGTTTTGGGTGCTCTGCTCTTCTACATTCCGGTATCATCGCACTTGTAGTCTTGTCCAGTCCAAACCCTTTGAGTTCCTTCGGCCCTGGACCGAGTGTGTTTGGGACTTGACACGACAGCAACGTCAAGAACTGAGGAGATGCCCTGGCCGTGAATTTGATGCCAGTTCCCGGCGGTGCGACACAAGCACTGGTTCTCTTCTGCGAGGCTTCAGTTTGAGTGTGCCACATCCACACATGCTCTAGCATGGAAAAACTGAAAGAAATCTCGATGCCTCCCACGCTCGTAGCAGCCTGTGCCGTGTCCCGAAAGCGATGGGTCGGAGACTCGACCGCGGCAACGCCCCAACCAGGTGCGTCAGGGCCTGGGCCCTCGGCCTCACTACTTCTTGACCTTGATGAAACTGGTGGCCTCTGGCAACGGAGCCGCCGCCTCTTCTGAGCAGTTGCTTCCCGGCTGCGAGGGAGACCTTCCGGAGTGAGTTGTTTTGTTTATCAAGATTCGACTTCGGAGTAGAATCGCAGGCCGCCGTCATTCAAAGCGAGGGTGTTCTAGATCGTACTGTGGTGCTGTCCCATGCCAGATGCAGCAGACATGCGAGGTTGGAATTGTCCGGATTAGCTCCGCCACTTGCTGCATCTATTTCTGGAGACTACTGCATGGTCGTGGCCAATGGTCTCTACGAAACTTGGAAGAGAACCTCGGCATATCAGACCCTAATGACGGGGTGACATTGTCGTCGAGTCATCGAATTAGCTAACATCATTACCACGAGCGCCACTACGATTCATTGTGCATGCATCAAATCTTCAAGCGAAATCTGAACGACGAACAACAGCACAGGCGCTTTTGTTCCAGAGGGACGACAAGAAGGACGTAGCTATGGTGCACCTAGCCGCCCCGACCAGACCCTGCGATAGCATAGACAGGCATGGGGGGATAAACGAATGCTTGCCGGTGATGGTTGTCATGATGATGAGGACTGCGGACATGACGATGCTGATGACGGTGGCGATGCTTCTCATCGTGGTGGCCATTCTCTTTATGACTATGATGATGATGATGTTGATGATGATGACAATGCTGACGCAGGCAGTTATGGTCACGGCGATGGTGATCGCGGTGATCGTGTGCAGATTAGCAGCGAACCTGCACCAATCACCATTGCCATCAATGTCAAAAAACGACTACCGAGCGCCGAATCATCATCAACATCACCGGGAAAGGGCCCAAATGAATATGCACTGGCGCAAGACTAGGACTGACTGATATTGATTCTGTGGTGGTCCGAGGCCTTCCTTCGTCCGACAGCATCCCAATGACCGAAGGCTCCCGCGAAGAGCCCGAGGATGTTGACGAGGAGCTGAAAAAGAAGGTTTGTTCTTGGGTTAATGAAATGGTTAGTCCCACGAGCTCGTGCCTCGTGCTATCTTGCTTGCTACTTTTTTGCCGTGTGTCTGCATTATACGGCCGCTACTACCACGACGACGACAAGGACCACTGCTAGCACCGCCAGAAGTAGGACCAGAAGTAGTAGTAATCGTGGTTTAGTAGCAGCAGCAGCAGACGCAGTCAGGGAGGAGGAAAAGTAGAGAAGCAAGAGCACTTCTACCAAGACAGGCTGCAACGTTGATCATAAAATAGAATTGCGGTGAAAGTCTATGCGGCATAGCAACACCATAGATGTTGTCAGCAGCGTGAACTGCGCGAACACGCACTGCATTGCTTAAGTCTGAAATCTGTGCTAGAGGGCTGGATTATATGTTTGTTCGAGACATGCGGATTCGTTAGGCAGCCAAGACACCTTAGAAGCGCCCTGAACGGCCCATACAAATCCATTTCCTTCTCCTGTATGGCTTCAGAACGATATGTATCCACATCGTGGGTTTTTGGATGGATACATGTAGCTGTTAGCTATTTCCCTGGATTTGGGCACAAGACCTTGCCCGTATGTACCGGCAACCCGGTGCGCCAGAGCGAAATGTATCCAAACAGTCTGGGGTCATGTCGGTAAGCATCTGCAAGTGCGTCCTCCCGGACTCATGAGCTACAGGAGCTACAGGACAACCTTAAAACGAGGTCGCAGCAACATAATATTTGTTAAATTGGCCGTCCGGAAAAGACTTGCTTATACAGTTCTTGAAGTGTTTCCTGATGTAGATCGATTTCACATACACGCCATGCACGGCGGCAGACTGGGTGCCGTCCATGTAGATTCCGTTCTCTTGCGTCATACCTTGGTTTTGCAGGTTTCAGGGGCTTTCGCCCCACCCAGGTTCGCCCCACCTTACGAAGCTTCCAAATGCGTTGTTTCAGCTTCCCAGCCTCGCGTGAAACACGTGTCCCGAAGTTCAGACGGTTTAGCTTCCGACACCCCGAAAGGTACACCTGTCTGTGAGAAGCACTGCTGTAGCGAGAAAAAGGAGCTTCGAAGCTTCATGGAGGCCAAGGGTGCTGTGCCACCACGTCGGGCTGCAGGCAGCTTCCAGACCAGACAAAACTTGAAGAAGGTCAATGTAGAAACCCAGCCATGCCGGTTTGACAATCCAAAAACATCTGAAATTGTAGCCAGGTTCTGTCGCAGCTTGGCTCACGCTGCTCAAGGTGATCCCAACTCAGAATGCAGAGCACACTCACCGGAAGTTGGGCTTGGCAGCTGTGGCTGGCTTTGCATTGGAAGCCAGCTCTGGAGACTTGGCATTGGGGGTGGTGCTGCAGACGCCGAGTGGACATGGTGCAATCTGCCACTGCAGTGCATCGCAAGAACACGAAGCTGTGTCGATCCAGGCCCAGTTTGGTTTCGGACGGGTTTGCATCCCTCGCTGATGATATGATTTTGCGCTGACGGCTTGCTATAGAGCTAGTATTTCCTGCTCGGACTGAGCCTGCACTTGCCGCGCGCGAGGTCACCCATGTTGATACCTTTCCCGGTCTGGCTTTGTTCTGCGACCGGGTTGCAGTCAGACTTGAGCCGCAAAGCAGCCTGCAGGGTGCAAGCATAGGCTTTGCTTTTGCTGTCCTAGTCACCTGGCCAAAGGCCGGCTGAAGTCGATGCCATACCTCAGGTCAAGTGCCTGGTTTCGCTTACCTGGCCTTGTCCGAGGACCTCCCTTGTGAGAAAGGCGGAAGGCCTAGGTGCCGAGTCGAGCAGAGGGAATGCCAGATATTTTGCTATCATTTTGCCAGCAGGCCTTTGTAGTTTATGGCCTCTTCAGGCCCCAAAATGGCGGCCCGTGCGGGATTCCGATGTATTCCGGGCCAGGACTACTCTTGGGCGGCTTTGGGGCGCTGGCGAGGAGAAGCTGCAGTGGGCCCAGAGCAGGGTGAGCTCTTTGGGGGGTCTCCTGACTTCCTTCCTCTTTGAATTGGGGAAATGTACAACTTATCCTTTGGTCCTGTATGATTTCATCAAGAGTATGGGAGAGCAGAGAGAGGGGCTGTTTTGGTGGATGAGCTGGAACCGGAAAACGGAGGATCCAAAACCTACTGGTAATACTTGTGAGTAGCATGCCTCGCAAACCGAGTGTCGTGGAGTAGCTTGCTTGTTTCTTTAGGAATGGAGGCTGCTTGCACTGCGGAAGGAACTGGCATTTCTGTCACGGCTTCTTGCTTTTTGCAAGGTGGAGATTTTTCAACATCCGCGTGGAGCAAAGCACAGCTTTACTCAAGGACTGATATTACAGCGCGAGTTCGCGGAAGAAAGTTTGTTTGAATGCAGCTCCAACGTCAGGAAATTGAAGGTTTCCTATGACTTCAGTGCCCCATTCGGGATTTGCAGGGTCTCGCCGGAATTTAAGTTGGACTCATTTTCTCAACGAAGAAGCGTATTCGTGCGGTGTAAGGTTTGATGGAACCCGAACCCTGAAATCCAAAGCCCGGGAGTCTGAAGCTCCTCAATGCTTCCCACAGCCTACGTAGAATGAGAGGGATGAACCAAGCATCTTATGCTGCTACTGCTGCTGCTACTGCCGCGCCGTTGTTGTGAGCAGAAGCTGGCAATGACCTTCTGTAATTGACTGCCCGGCGAGGGCTCAGCCTTCCAGCAGCCATCCGCGGCCTACGCTTCTCAGCGATTGATGATACCGTTTGCTCTGGTCGCGATGTTGTGAGACCATAGGATTTGAGCCAAGCTCGTCGACGTACAGGGCTGCCGTCTGCGGAGTGGGTGGGATGTGGTGTTGAGCTGCCCCTTGTGTAGGGCAGCGTTGAATTCCAGACAGCCACATATTAATCGGAGCGGCAGAAACTCTTCTCTTCTAAAGTCCTGCAGCCCGACCACATCTATGTTTGCAGTGCCGGAAGTTTGACGGTTATAAGTACCTCAACCGGGACCATAAGTAAGTCTACTTAGCTCAGACCGACCAGAGCCGTTTAGGTGTGCGCGGCGGGCATCTTTACGCCTTCCATGGCCGAGGGATACGGCGCTATCGCTTGGCCAATGCCTCTGCGAATGCGCAGGCCTTTGGCAAGGGGGTGGATGTCTAGAGATCTGCATGATGCTGCAAGTAAATTGAGCAACTGTTGCTCTCAAGGCTGACGCTTCCCAAAATTATGCTCCTTCCAAAACTTGAGTTGAGGATGCACTCCGCTCATTAATAAGAGAGGTTTCACTACCGCTCCAAGCGGCCATGTTCTTGTCATTGGTACCATATTGTCATTGTGACAGTGAAGAGTCCTGGTTTTGAGACGTCTTGATCGCAGCATGAAGAAGATGATCATTGGGCAGGGGCGAGAGGGTTGAGGCACTGCTTTGCCGCACAGCAAGTGGAATATGTTTCTTTATTCGTGGTGGCCGGTGGTTTTGCACACATTTTCCGTCTCTGCAGTTATCATGACATGGGTGGGCACGATACGGTACATACATGTTCGGTGGCATGGTTTCCCAAAGATGGGTGTATAGATAACGCAGTCTACGCACGTTGAGATGAAAAGTTGGACACGTCAACTTGCGCTGAAGCCAAAAAACCGTTGAAGGCTTGTGCGAGGACGCAAGTACTGGAGGCGCAGGCAAAATCCCCCCCCGTCTGTTTGTAACTTTTGCTTGCCTCTGAGTCTCGCTGGAGCGGGGGCGACGGAAGCTTGTGAGAAGACTATTGACCAAAGCCCACTGTTAAGTCATCCTCGTCAGTACTTAAAACCATTTACGTCTCCACCCCACTGCTCCTGTGATCCGGTGGTGCCAGAACTTCTCCGCGCCAGGGCGAGAAGCCAGATCTGCCGGGGCCTTAGCGGGACTAGGGTCTGGAGTCTGGAGCCTAGGAGTCGAGATTAGATTAGACTTGTCCAGATTAGCGGATTAGTGCTTTCTTTCGCGATAAGGTTTTTGGCTGTTGTAAGTTTTCTCTTTGGGGTGAGGCTGTGGGGTCTCTAAGGACTTGGGACTGCTCGGCTCCTGCAACGGCTGATGTGGACTGGGGATGACATGAAGCAGACGACAGGTTCTGAAAGATAGTGCAAAGCTGAAACATCACAGCTCAACGCGTCTCAGAGAGAAAAATGAACCGTGCGGTCAGCAACTGCTTATGCTCATAACTTATACCTTGAGCGCTAGCATGATTTGATACGAGGCCAGTTTCCAGCTGGAGCGTTCAGTGCACTCCGCTTGTGTTCGGCCATCGCAGGAGCCAATCTGAGCTGCGGATGCCTATGTGCCTGTGTGAAGCATGCAAGTCCGAACATTCCGGATTCTCTATTCCTTGGCACGGAAGGGAAAGGTGACGTGTTGGAGCTTCCCGGTCACGAGACTCGGGGGGGGGGGGGTGCATGACAAGGCGACCAAATATCAAGGTTCAAGATCATCACCACCACCACCGCCGCCACCACGACTACCACCACCATCATCATCGTTGCCTACATGATGACGTAGATGAATGCTTTCGGTTTCCAAGTTGTCGTGCCCGTCCCAGGCGCCAAGTTGCCATCACGGTCAACGGCCTGCCAATGGCAGTCGTACCGCGCGCTTTCGACAAAAATGTACAGGTACAGGTGTTTTTTGCTTTGTTTGGGGGAAGCTTCGCTCGGCTTTTCCGGGGTCCTCCAGATCAGGCAGGATCCACGTGCCCAGGATTTTCCCTGCAAGTTGTTGCAGTGCATGAAGCAGCAATCGCAAACCTCGCTAGAGAACCTTATGATTATATCCCATGTCCGAGAGGTTCAAGCACGCGAATGAATTCGAACGTTAGGGATAGGAGTCAGGCATTGGCAGCAGCAGTAGCTTGGTGCCGGTGCAATGCACGAGGGTGCTGCTGTAGAGGCGAGGAGCAGAAAACGTGGCCTTATGGCATTTAGACTATGGAAGTGCAAGGTGCATGCACATGAAGAGACTCGACTTCGCCCGAGAACTGCGTAAATGCTTGAGTGCTTGCGCTGGACGGACTCCGTGGCCGAACTCTCGTAGCCTGAAGTTGGCTTGGTCCACCAATCCAGCAGGCAAGGAAGCTTTTGCAGCGGGGTAGGCAGAAGGATGAAGTTCAAGCTCAACAGCAGGTACCATAGCATGTCCAAGACGGCGCCGAATGACGCGGAGGATGACAGCTTGGAGCTCTCTCGACGGCCCCAAATGCCAGAAGATCCAGAGTGGGACTGGGGAGACCGAGCCGTGCAGCCTGGCTGAAGTGGCGAAGCCCGCTTCTCGCAACGGTTCTGTTCTGCCTTTGGGCCCTTGGGGCCACCAAGGTATGCCGCGCATGTGTTTTGGATGCTCAAGGCGGAGATCTAGGCCGCCCCACTTTCCTTGTGCATCACGGGTTTGCGCAGGAAGTTGGATGGGTGCTGCTCATTCCGGAGCTTTCCTTGCCACTGGGAGCTGCCGCGGCCGGGCTGACTTTTGCTGGCGTTGGGTTGCATTGCTGCCGGCGGGGCTTCGCACCTCGCCTCAAGACGGGATTCGAGGCGCAGGTTGTTTTGGAGTGCACTGCCACCGTAGTGTCACAGGCACCGCAACACCTGAACACTTGCCCAAGCGGACCTTCAAACCTGCTTGGCTGCTGGTCAAGGCTGAGCTCGTCATAGAGCTAGTGATGATGATCTGGCTATGCACGAATGTGTTCTGGATGACCAGTGGCTTTGGCGACAGCATACACGCATGAGCTACCTGGAAATCATCCGTACACCAGCACCCTTTGTCTTAGGCGAGGTTATCTACGACGAGCCGGATGTTAAGTTTCCCTGGAGCCTGTCTCCTCTTCTTCCAGAGAACGTGCACCTCCGATGGAATTGAAGCTTCACTGTGATGTATAAGCTTACAATGCAGCTACAAAAGAAAGATCTGAATGATTGTTAATTAACTAGTAACAGTATCCTCATATTCGACAGATACCCCAGGACCCTACTGGCTCAAGACCCGAAATTAGATACTGTGTCTCCAGACCTACTCGATGTTGTGTTCTTTCGTGTCTTGATGCGATCTTTCAATCTGAGCGCACAGCAAGCAGGTACATTGGTTTCAGCTGTTGGGTAACAGCTAGCAGAATGAATGCAGTCACAAGTCGATGAACATTCAAGGATGTGTGTCTGTTTGTTTTTTTTTTGTGTGTGTGTGTGCTTTTTGGTTGTTTGTTGTTTTGTTCGTATGCTTGCGGCTTGTGTGTGTGTGTGTGGGGGTCTGATGCAGCGGCTGCTAACGACTACAAAGTAAGCTGTCATGACTCATCCAATCAATGCGTTGCAGGTTCAGGTTTCGGGAGAAACATGGAGTGCATTTGCGTTTTCCCTGTGATTCGTTTTGTGTAGCGGTGTGGCTTGCTGTGGAAGTAAGTTGTGCTGTGGGCATAACTCCCGTCGTAAGCCCCGGCCTCAGAAGAGGGTTCAAAGAGGTTTCGGGAGACGCCGAACAACTGGTGCGATGCACATATCAGACAAGCCAACGAATCCAGCTGATTAACTCAGTGCCCGACCGTCACATGCGAACTCCCCACTACAGTGTATACAGTGTCTGGTTCGTGTGCCGTGTCCCGAAATGTTAATTGGGGGCTTGTGTTGAAGTAGTTATCAAGCTTTGCTACCTAATTCACATCTAGTTCCTGATGGCCCAGGCCTGTCTATTCAACGATGGAGTACATGTCTTCCATCGGCTTCTTCATTGCCGTGGCGACCTATCTGCTCGGCCTTGGCATTATCACCTTCTGGAGCCTCGGCTAGAGCGCTACTTGCGCATAGCTGTTGCCTTTGGCGGTGAGGGTACTGATGCGAGAGTTATGCTATCAATGTGTGATGATGATTGCTTTGACCATGATTGCTATTTCTTGTTCTTATTCTTCCTCTTATTATTCATGTTCATGTTCGCGTCTGTGTTCATGTTCATGTTCATCATGTTGTTGTTGTTGTTGGTGGTGGTGGTGGTGGTGCTGCTGCTGCTGCAGCTGCTGCTGCTGCTGCTGCTGCGGCCGTCGCCGTCGTCGTTGTCGCGTGGTGGTGGTTTTGGTCTTGGTGGTGGTCGTGGTGCTGGTGGTGACGGTGGTGTGGTTGCTGTTGGTTTTGCTACTGCTGAGGCCTGCTCCGCTCCTGCTGTTGATGATGTTGCTTGATTGATTGATTGATTGATTGACCGACCGACCGACCGACCGACTGACTGACTGATGGATTGAGGAATTGAATGATTGAGTGATTGATGGAGGGAGGGAGGGAGGGAGGGAGTCAAAAGTGAGTTAGTGATGGAATCGTTGAGTGAGTGAGCGAGCGAGCGAGCGAGGGGGTGAGTGGGTGGGTGAGTGGGTGGGTGGGTGAGTAGTGATTGATTGATTGATTGATGGTGGTAATGGTGAGGTTTATCTGTTGGCAGAGATGTTGGTCCCGGTTGGGCTGCAAGACGGCTATACACTGAATATCAGATTCCGCAGGGAACTCTGCCTTTTTCGGGAGGCCAAAAGCTCCGGTGTCTCAGGTATGTGCATCCCAAGTACCAGCTGCCCACCTCCACCTTTGCCAGCTTCCTGCTCCAAAGCCCCTGGGCCGTGAGTACAACCCCAACTCCTTGTTACTCCATAAAGTCCTAAAGCTCCTAAGCCCGAGACCCGAGTGCTACTGCTATTGGTTCAGGGCATGCAGTCGGGTTTGTGAGTATTTGGTTTTCGGTGACTGTATGTAGGGCTCCTTCGCGCAAAAAGGAGCATTGGTGAGTGTAGACTTGGCTTCCCTTTTTGTGGGCGGTAATTGAAGCTTTAAGTCATATGCATAGATCAGGCGCCATTGGTTTCCTGCTTGGGTGTGCTCCCACAAGGCTAGACTAGTGTGGGGGGCCTTCTCTGAGAAGCCTGCAGTGCTTGAGAACAGAGATTCCGGGAACGAAGGTCGGCAAACAGTGCATGAGTTTGCTGCCAAGTTGTAGGTTGCCACAAATTGCGCATGCGTAATTTAAGAACTCGAATTTCCTTTGGGTGACATGGTGCTGCTGCTGATGACAGTTGTCGAATGTGCTTCTTTAAAACAACAGACGCGACCCCGAATCGGTGCTCCTAATACCTGCAGTCTCGAACTAGGGAAAGCACTGAATCACCTCCGCACACTGCTTTTTTCAAATATCCTGTGCGTAGCTACCGACCTCGTGGAATCGAGACCAGGGTTTGCAGCATAAAACCTAGATCGGCTAGGCTATCTCTGCAGCTGGTGCCTGAAGGCACGCCGGTGTGGAGGGGTGCTACTTCTCAATCAAAAGCGTGTGAGTTTTCATGTCTGGGCTAAAGAATGCAGTATAGAGTTTCAGTTTGGGATCTGGGGTGCCCGGAAATTCCAGAAGTCGATGCCTCTAAAGTATTATATGGTAAAGCATCTTAAACTGGCATCTCCGAGTGACCCCTGGACCGGCAGAAATGGGCGCAGGATTTCTTCTGGGCACAAGAGCGGTTTTGGCCTGCAATGTTCACAGACCTCATCACAGCATCTCGCCTGCAGAGCCATTGCAGAGCTGACATTGATTTTCCTTACTAGGATCGACTGAGACAGTGATTTCCTCTGGCGACTGCCAGCCTTTTGCTTTTCGAGCCACCAACGGGGGCCCTATAGTGCACACCACAAAGAGCGGGATCCTTACAGACGTATCCAAACAGGACCCCCGACATGGAGAAACCTTGGTATGTCTCACAGATTCGTGTTTGCACAGCCAGCATTAGGTACCCATGTTGATTGTCAACGCTCGGCTTGAAAGCGGTGCGTGGCATAATGTTCGTCGCAACAGCTGGTCCTGGGCTGTCTGGGCGATAGCGAGTGCCGTTTGGATCACCGGTGAGCATCTTGGCAGCACACCTTTCTTTGCTGTAATTACTTGCTAAAGCGATTACCGCACCCTTTAGAGTTGCAAGAGCACTTTCGGCAGCATAAGAAGCCTGTTCGAGGCTCAAGTTTCCCGGGGTAGCGATCTTCAACTATGTCGCCGCCGCACTGCTGTTTACAGCCTTCGTCATGCTGGCTAGCAGCTACCAGCACTACAAGGAGCCCTCCTTGTCGAGGTCGCCGCATGTCATACGAGCGTCATGTCACGTAGGCTGCGGAGATTCGGAGATCTTCTTCAATATGTGAGACCGACAGCAGCGATAGCACTGACTACACCACGGATGATAGCAAAGCTTGACTCCTGTGTGCCTGAAGTCTGTTAGAATCAGAAACGATGACCTCCTTGTGACTCTGGCTAGGCACTGTGGTGTCTTACATGTACCTGTGTCTCCATTGTGCTGAGATGTCAGGAAATGTCAAACAGCCTTTGGCTTGAGTCGCTTGATCTGCGAATGCATATCCAGCATACATCACACCCGTATTTCTGCAGACGCTCTGTCCGTGTCCGTGTGAGTCGTGTGAGTGACAATGCTGTGGGCTGGCCAGAATTGCAGAGGAATCTGCGGAATTGTCTTGACTGGAGTTAATCACAACAGCCCATCAACAGATGTCGGTTGACGGAACACCCAAAATAATCGTTGAATGGCTGACTGTTTGTTGTGTTGTGTGAGCATGTGTTTCCGGCTTCTCAGCAGAACAGGATCAGGAATTGCTATCGCCATTTCCTGGTCTCAGCATTGTCGGGCCACGCAGGGGTTTGGCTTGGCGTGCTTGCCTATGTTTGCCCTATAATTTGCGACGTGGTGTTTCCGATTCTGCATGTCTTCAACCATGAATGGTTGTAGGTTGGCAGGCCTTCGCCAGAGCAATCGTGTGTGGTGCAGCCTTGCTTTGATGTGTTCTGCCTCCGGCTTGACGATGTAATGACTTTATGGCAAGTGTGTGCGTGTGTGTGTGTGTGTGCGCGTGCGCAGTCGCCCCGGCTTGTACCAAGTTTTTGCCAACAAAACAAGAGGCACAACAATGTGGTTTGTGGAGTAAGCCTGCTCTTGAAGCATTGCATGTATTCAAGTGTGATCGATTGTGCGCACAATCCAAACTTCGTGCCGTGACAGCGTCGTATACTTGTACAGGCGAGCTTAGGTTTTCCCGTTGTGCACGAATTGTTGGGAATTAGAGTAGGGGGGTGTTGGGGATATAGACCCTCTCAATAAGGTCCCTTTTTGAGAGAGCCATAAGTAGGGTTAAGAGGGTCCCCTTTAAGGGGTCTCCCTAATACTACCTACTAATTGTGGCAGTGAGCCGAGTCTGGGCTGCAATGACGTTCAGCCTGCTGAGACCACGATATAACCATATAATCTGTTTGCAAGCAAACATGAAAGACAGCTTTCACCGATGCCTTTCGGAGCATGAACTGGCAGCCGCGTTTCGGAGGCTAAGCTGACAGCTGTATGAGGCTTTTTCCCTTCTACAATGCCACCGAAATTGTGTGTTGGCGTTCTGCTGCTTTGTTGCATTCCGCTCCGGCCGGGCATTAGTTGAGCCTAATGCTGACTTGAGTGACTCCGCAGCCTTCTTTCGGATTCGAAAAGATTAGGAAGCTCGCCACCCATGCTCACACCACAGTCCAACTGAGGACTCTAGGCTTCGAGCGACAGTTCCGACAGGAAGGGAACTTGGAACATGGAGGAAGCAATGCAGATGATTACCACAGCCTCTGGCGAGCTCCTGAGCTCAGGCGTTTCCAGGTTAGAGCATGTAGCACCCACAGTGTTCTCGGCACTGAGGTGTCGTGTACGACGGCCTGCAGTCCGCATTGAGCTTCATGACCGAAGGCTGCAGCCTTTGCCAGGCCAACGGGAGCGCAATGGGTACCCCGTGCCAGTCCTGCAGCGATTCCTGCCCTGTACCTTCAGGTTCCTGCTTGGGAGGAGGCTGAGGAGGTTGCGTTCACCGAAAGCTGCCGGTTTCGTTTACGATCAGATGTCGAGGTCCTTGGGCGGCCACTTGAATTGCTCACGGCTGTCTTCTGCATCTCTGGAGCTCGTGTCTTTCCACCTTCTCCGGCTCTCTGTGTTGAATTTCCCCACTTGCAGCCAAGAAGTTGCCGCCATTTGCACAGTCGAAGCGCAGCACCACGAAAAAAAATACATCATGAGAGTCAGTATGGCAGTTATGACACCGTGGCTGCGGGTGCTGCTGCTGCTGCTGCTGCTGCTGCGACTGCTACCACCAAGTTCTCATTGAAATAACGGTAAGAAAGCTGAACACATTTTTGATAGAAATAATCATGTCCAGAGTAGCACAATAAAAAACAATAAAAGTTGTGTTATTATGTGATGAGCTCGGAACAACATGAACTGCCCATGAAGATCTCCCTAGAACTGGAGACCTGAAGTCCAGATCCCCAAAGGGTCTGAGGGTTGACGATCAAAGACTTATAAGGGGATCATCAGGAGATAAAAAATGAAAAGATGCCTAGACCAGGAGATATGATGATAACCCCAGGTAAAACGTGTAAAGAAGCTTCTGGAAACCTCCCTCCTGTCCTCCCCCCCGCAAAAAAAAACAGCAAGATTCCGAGGTTAAGCCAAGGAAACACCCTAAGATATGCCGGTATGCCCGAAAACGGTGGCCGAGCTTAGCTGAAAGCCAGCAGGACATAGCAGCAAGCTCCCTGGAACATTTGGGCCCGGAGCTACTGGGCTGATTGGAGACAGCCTCCAAGATGACTGCAGTTGGTGCAGGTTGCACCGGACGTCTCATCGGGGCTTTCGGTAAATCAAGAGGTTGCTGAGATCGTAAAAGAAAGCTGGTCCTACCCGGTTTGTGCACAGTAAGGTTGATGCGTGGCATAGGCAGCTATCTTGGAGCTGCTCGGGCGAATAAACTCTGCAGCATCCAGGATGTGTGCCAGTTCATGATGGATGTTGCAGCGTGTGCACAAAAAGTTCATGTTTTGCATCGGATTTTAGCCGTCAGGTCTTGCCGTTTTGCCAGTACCGCACGGCGTGCAGAGTGCACGCAGAGCCGAAGGCGGACGTTTCTGTTGCGATTGGCAGGGTGCTTGAAGTCATTATTGAGGTGCAAACCAAACCTGTCAGGAGCTTGTGGCCCATCTTGTTGGCCTTGTGCAGCCGGAGAGGCCCACAAGGCCTGGCATCGTTTCGTGCCGTTCCGGTCCAGCCGCCGTCAGGATGGACGTCTACACGTTCGCGTTGGGGCAGCTTTGCCACCCCGACGACCGGGAGCAACGCCTTCTCTGCAGTGACTTTCATACTCGTGAGGGTTACAGAGGTCAGGCTGACTGGCATGGTCCAATTTGCATTGTAGCGACATGAGCATTCCGCTTGAGTGTTGCATTCGTGCGCCTGGAAGGCCTGGAATGCTTGTTTTCGAAGAAGCTGTCGCACTGGTGGAGCATGAACCCAGCCGCTTATGTGGATGTGCTGTCGAGCTTGCGGAAGCACCGCTCAGCAAACCCAGATCTGCGGGTTGTGATTAGCGACCTTGCCAGCAAGCTCTTGTGTCACGGGCCAGACAGGCGGGCTCGACACTTTCTCATCCGAGATGTTTTGGAGATGCTCAGGTCCGCTGATTTCAACGACCAGTTCCGGGCCATTCGTGCCTTAAGGAACTCTACGGCCCACTTGGGCAGGTTTAGGAGCAAGTGCAAGGCAGCTTTAGCGCCAATATTGGCTCAGAAGCCGAAAGGGAAAGTGCTGCGCGCTTGTGCCACATCGGCTGTCGAAAGGCTGGACGAGCTGTCCAGCAGGCAACAGAAACTTCATTAGAGGGCATGTTATTGAAGAGCACCGAGAGCATGTACAAGCTTGGTCCCACTGAGCTACTGGTTGAGGGTCCGATTGACGACAAGCGCTGAACGGATGGATCCGACACTGCCTTGGTTCATCTTGCTGCATCTCTGCGGGATCTGGAAGCGCCCAGCATCTGCATGCCGTCGCATGGACTCGGATGATGTAGCGACGACGCAAAAAGGTGTGCCCAAGGGCTATATTGGTGAGATCATGACAGGAGGTCTCCTGTGCAACATCACACGGTGCTGCCTCTTTGGCTGTGTGTTCAAAGTCCCACCGATGACAGTTATGCTCCCGGCCTCCATTGTAGCGGAATGTCGTGCTTGCATGGTGCAGTGCTTCACATGAACAAGAGAACTGTAATCTTGTTGAGTGCTGCGGAGCTTTGGAATGCTCATACAAAAGGGGCTGGTAAAGCTTGCATGTGTGGCCGCATCCAAGGGTCCGAATGTTGTGCGTGGTACTCCCAAATTATGTCGATCTCGGGTGTAGCCTCCAAGATCAACAGTGGGTATGTGGATTTCGGTGTGTAGCTTCCATTTAGTGGCTTCTTGGTTAAATTCACGCCACGAGAGCCTTTCGAGGATTCGGCGAAATCTGAGATCGCACCAACTGAGTACTAAATGTAGTGTCCAGGTGGGAATTAGCTGTTGCTGATGTGTATACTCAGATTCTCGCCACTCATCTGCAATTCTCTGGCACAGCGTCTGCACACTGGTCACGCATATTCTCGCGGATTGATGTGTGACGAACACGACCCCTCTAAAAGAGAGCGATTTTTCCGAACTTTCGCTGAACTGCTTGACTGAAGAGCAGCTCTGCCAAGCCTAGTGTGCAACATTGCGCAACTTGTGTTGCCGCGGTCACCTTGCTTGCGGTTTCTTCTTGCTGCCTCTGCGATGCGGGGAGAAGTGGAGGCCAATTATGCGATTTGTGGTTGCTTGCCTTGGCCCCAGATGCAGCAGGTTCGCGTGCAGGTGTATCTTCTCTCCTTCTTCTTTCCATTGCCCTTCCACTTGGCCTTGGAGATGGAAGGTTGCCGAAGCACTGAAACTCAGCGAAAACGACTTTTCAAATGTTTTGCGGATGTCAAGGCAATGAGTGGTCTTACGGCGCGCAAGGCGTGTGCCATAATCCGCCTGGCGAAGATCCCGTGGCTTGGCCTTGGTACTGTAGTGGTGGAATGCTCCCGTTATGCTGTTGGCATGTTGCCATGTTATGTCATGTTTCAGTTCATGCTCGTGCGCTGTGGTTATTCTGCTTGTCGTGCATGCTCTTCGTTTGGGGACGCGTGTTGGTGGGGCATCGGGCCGATGTTGAACCATGCACGTTGTTGAATGCCAGAACTTCAATGGTCTTTTCGTATGTGGAATCCCTGCGGGGCGCTGCCGATCTGATTCCTTTCAAGTGGCCATGGAGGAGCCCGCTGTCCCCCCTTACCCCTTCCACTTGCTTCTTTGGCTGGCTGCGTGCTGCGTGTCGCGAGGAACTGGATGAAATTTTTGAAGGGCCAAAATACCGAGTGCTATGTTGGAACTGCCAACATTGGGTGCGCATCTCTGTCTAGCTGTTTCCTGTGCTTGTTCATGCTGCTTTGCGTTTCCAGGTGTATGCCATGGTGGACCGGTACCGTTTCTTGATCTTCTGCATGCCAAGCGTAGTCGCTTCATGGCGTTGTAGAATGCAGTTTGGCAGGTTGGCATTGGCCCGGCCG